CTCTGCCAAATTGAATCAGCGACCAAAGCCTCACACAGCCCTAATAGCTTACTGTCCTGGCCCATAATTATAATGTGAAACTAGTTACTAAAGGCCAGTATGATTTTTCAAAAAGGAAAATTTAACTGAAATCTCTTCCTTAGCAATTTTCCCATTACATTTTAAAGAAAAAGTTCCCATCTTTACATTTTCTTTGTAACATAAAAAGTGTGTTTTTTTTTCTTTCACACCTCAGAACAATATAACTGATTAACTCTGAAATGGTTTCCAGGGGAGATCTGTGTAAGGAAGAGGTGAATAATGTACACTAAGTCAGAGGAAAAACTGCTCTAGAAACGTAAAAACAACTTAAGTGATGAAATCATGATTCAGTCGAATAAGTTTTTAGATTTTGTCAACTTTATTTCTGAATATTCTTGTGGGTAGAATATTTCTATTTATAAATCCTCTGTGATAGCAACTCTCCAATTAATTCTTTAGGCTACATGTCAGAAGTTTTATTACTAGTTAATTTGTCATTTCCAGGCTTCACAGTTTCATAAGTTTCTGACAGTTAAACAGTTTTAATAATAGCTCCAAATATTTAGATATGCCAAAATATGTAAAAATAACCTCTCAAAATAGACAGTGACTGAAATAAAGTAGCAGCAAAAGAAATAGATTTTCCCAGTTTTGTTTTTGATGTCATGCTATCAAGAATTTGAAAGAAAGCAATGCAAAAGCAAAACAGAAGAATAACAAGGAAAGGGTTCCTTCCAACTACCAGAAGTACATGAAAAAACTACCTTGAATACTTTCCATTAGTCTGAATCATGACAGCAACAGGCATGGGAACATATATCTATGGTTTGTATGTTAGTTTCAAAATGAAGTAGAAAGTGGAAGAACTAGAACAGTTTACTCTAGAAGAGAGACTGAGGAGGGATTGATGTCTTCAACTACTTGTCTGGATCAGTCACACACTGGCAAGATCTGGTGCACAGGGCTATGCTATCCAGCCTGCAGGGTCCAGAAATCTGGCAGCAAGGGAGCAGCAATTATTATTACCAAATTTCCAGAGCCTTGGGGAACCTCGCAGGCTATACATTTCAGTGGGCCAAGTCTGGCCTGTTGCATTAGACTCTGGCCTACATTAGACCATGCCCCTTTCTTTGATTCTTATTTTGGAGCCAGAGGCATCTCTCAAAGCCCTTTCACCTACAGTCTCCCTCTCCTCAATACAACACTATGCCAATATTATATTTACAGGATTGAAATTCACATTTGTAATTTTAAAATGTGATATAAATATATCGAAGAACTGATGCACTCCAGTATATACAACAAGTTGTGCTGTAAATAATTTAATAAAAAATTGATTAGAACAGTATTAGGAAATGAAAAATGAACCCACCTCTTTTTCAGCATCCTCCAGTTTCTTTTTCTTGCTCTCAGGCATCAAATCATCCAACCAGCTGAGCTCCCGTTTGGTAAAAAAGAAATCCATGAGTTTTCTGACGAACACCAATGCTAAAACCTGGTTGAGACATTTGTTTAAATGGTCAAGATATTGCAAACAAGTGAAAATGGAAAATAGGCTTGGAGAGTACTTCCAAAAGTGTTTAATTTTGTGGAAAATATCCATAGCACAAACCATGCAAGTTGAATAGTTGGGCCTGCTTCCCTTGTCAACTAAGAAAGCTACATTTTTTTCCTTGTTTCAGCTTTCACTTTGGAACTTGCTGTTACTTATTTCAGTGTCTAGATTTTTTTTTAAGAGTAAAGTATATTCTGAGACACTTTGTCTTCCCTAACTTCCTTCTAAAGTGTGAAAGATACAAGATACTAATTTCTGTATAAGTCAGTGCTGTAAGTCCGGATAACTGATTCCAGCCACAGAATCACTGGATTTATTAATTTCAAGCATGCACACAACTGTCTTAAAGTTTCCCCATGCACTATAAATACCCTTTGGGAATTAACATTTTTATGTAAAGCTATTAAGCAGAATATTTCCAAACAATATCAAAAAATATAAATAAAGAAGTGAATCCTTCTGGCCCCTTGCACAAAAGAGGAAGTTGGCTGCCCATGGGTGAACAATAATAAAGTGAACAATATTTAACCAAAACTTCAGGGTTTATGTAGAATGTACTTAGTTCATGTAGTGTGAAATCATCTATGGATCTTGAGTCCCAGAGAGATTTTGAATATACATATCCCAAATTAATGTTCGTAAAAAATTGTTATGTATATGGGAAAGGAAGTAACTTTTATTTTGGTGGAAATAAAAAAAACATACCATCATGGGGAAGACTATAGCAGCTCTTGAAACCTTTATAATCCACAGGAGTACAAGACAGCTCAGCTGAATTACAGTGAAGAGATGGACTTTTCGAAGAGGAACATGCCTCAGATAAATAAAATCTGGCTGATGCTTTGCTGGCATCCAGAATAACTTTATTCGATCAAAGAGCTAGGAGAGAAATAAATTAAGCCGCATTTTATCATCTAAATGAGGTGTAGGGCTACCTGTGTTGATGTGCAAGGACTGGCCCACATAGTTAACGCACACTGTTTAAAGCAAACTCAAAGGCCAACTGGTGTGAACACAATACCGTGGACAGATAATCCAGTAGTAGGGACTGTACTAAAGACTTCTGGCATCTAAAACTATGAGCTGTTACTGCTTGAGTTAGAGGAATAAGCTCTGTTGCTTTAAGCACTGTTGGCCCACCAGAGGCAAGAGAACTGCACTAAGTCTGGAAGTGTGGGTTACACTTTCAAGTATGCCTCATTTAATCCATATTTTTCCCCATTATTCGTCACTTTTAAATAGCAGTGCCTAAAGAGCCCAGTAAGAATCAGATCCCACTGTATTGTCTGCCATGCAAACATGTATCAGAAACGCCTGGGCTCCTATACATGTGCAGGAAGGCTGCTCCAACATGTTGCAATTACAGTGCATTGGAGCAGACTCAATTAATTGATTAATCAAGTCCGCTGGAGTGTGGCAATTGCCGTGCTCCAGCAGACTCCAGCATCACACGTATCAGTGTCCCTGTGCTGAAAAATGGCAGTGACCCCACTTTAAAATGAGCTTTAAAACGAGCTTGAGTTCAAAGCACCCCATCGCAATTTTTCAGCGCAGGGATGCTGATACACATGACACTCCAGGTGCTTTAATTAATACAACTCTCAGAGCTGCACTTATTAAAGCACCCCTCCCACACACACACCTCCCAGAGCATGTCTATAAACACCTCTCCT